CACTTTCCAAGAGTCTTTTCCTTTTTGTCCAATATTTTCCAACAACAACAACAACAACAACAATAACAGCAACAATAACAACAACAACAACAAGAACAATAGCAACAGTAACAATAATAACACATTGTACATATTATTGTTATATTTAACGATTTTCTTTAATCATTTTGCGACATGTCGTCGAAATCGAAAATTTATGCACAACGTCACAGTTGCTCGATAACAACGTTGATTGTAATTGACGTCTATCGATATAAAAATAAAAAAAAGAGAGAGAAAAAAAAAAGAAAAGAAAAAAAAGAAAAAAAAAAGGGAAATATACTTTTCACTCGGTAAGCTTTCACACATTGATTTACACATTGTATTGGCATATCCGTATATAATATTGCACATTTCAACGGGTTCCTACGAAATGAAATTTCGTACATATATTACAAGATCGTGATCACCTATTTACGGATCACCGATTTCTACAAGACAATAGTAATTATGTTGAAAATTTTTTTTTTTTTTTTTCGAAAAATCAATTCTATGAAAGAAGGAAAAAAAAGAAAAGAGACAAAGAACAAAGAAAGAGAGAGAAAGAAGAAAAAAAGAAAAAACAAAAAGAAAAGCAAACACAAATTCATATTAATTGATAAAGAAATCTGATTTTTATTAAATAAACAAAATCCTCGGATCGTAGGATTCATTTTTTCTCGTTGTGACTTTATGTGACCGCAACAGATGATAACATACTCTATACATACAACGTATAGTGATCATAGCTAGTGCACATTGTTCTCGGATTTCGCGCTTCTGCGTATGCTTAAGGATAAAATGGCATTACGGGTATATAACACGGTTGACACGTAAAGAGTGAGGATATCAGAGGAAGAGTCATAGAGTGAGAGAGATATATAGACGGATAGATGAATAGAGATAGACGGATAAAGATAGATAGATAGATAGAGAGAGAGAGAGAGAGAGAGAGAGGTCATCCGCATTTGCTCGTTAAAAATTTTAGTGTGAGTATATTGCACGTACGTGCGCGTACG